CTGATCATTTATATATATATAACCCTATATCTAACTCGATTAGTTTTAGGTGATACAAACAACCGTTAGGTGAACAAAACTATTATACTCTGTAGCAACAGGTTGCGAGAGTATAATAAATTAGTTGCTTGTATGGAAAAGAACAGTCGGCTGAGTGGTTAGGCTTGTGGCTAATATGATTTACAACTAGTTCATTTGATCTCATTAACATTTTGTTATAACTAACATAATGCCAGTTTTTGCTTGCTTTACTTCGTTAGCAAAGCTGAAAAAAAGATTTCAGATATTCACAACATCGCAGCTCTCCATACTAAGTTCGGCTTATAACTTACCCAATTTCCTTTACATTGTGATATATAAATTCTATATGATTTGCTAGACGCAAATAAACCTTTAAAATTCACACTATAAACTTATCACAATCAAGTTATATCGTTATTCTTTTTGTCGTCCCGAATTTTCGACACTCAATGTCTGTTCTTAGCGATGGCTATACAATAACACTCTTATTAACTCATGTTCAAGAACTATCCAGGAGAATATTGCGACAGGTGTTCGTGCTAATATCCAATAGAACGAGCTGCTATTGTACAATATCACCCTGTGTTAGCAGTTTTACATATAATTTTCATAGCTAGAGCCCAAAAATATGCTGTAATATAAAAGTAGATATTGCAAGATCGAAATATATATTATGTAAGATATAAATATGTGCATACATAAATAATTTTTAGATTATATAAATTACAAATAAACTTGCTAATTTTGAGTTATAAAGTTATATATTTCAATATATTTTTATTGGGAGCATAAAAACACACATACATAGACACTTACACACCTGTATTGCAAATATTATCTGTGCTTGTGACTTTTATGTGTCGGCAAACAATTCGTTTAGGTTAAAAACCCCCTTGGTCACTTCACATCTTTTATATATGTATATGTATGCACAATATTGCTTAGATATATTGTATTTACCATATACTCATATTATATTATATAATTTAATTGTATAGTTCTTCTTGTACTTATGCAAATTTGAACTTGTATCAATTAATAACATTGCTGATACACCAGAAATGCATGAAATCACGCCAGTGGACCTCGAAGAAAAGGTATTTTATTTTTGCATGCTATACACAAAATCAAGTGCTAAAAGCGTTTAGAAAAATATTCATATACACATAAATATTTATACATTTAACTGCACACATACATACATATAAATAAAATTGTAAAATTTGAATAAATTTTATACTTTTTTGTTGTTTGACTGCGCGATTGCTTCCGATCGAAGTTGCTCTTGCATTGTTTTTGGTCAAGATCATGGCTAAATGGTTTCGTCTGACGGCTTACACGCTTATTCATTATGTTTTAGTACATGAGTGTGTATCGATAGATATCTATTTGTGCCGTCGTTCATTCACTCGATTTAAGAGGCTTGACTTCTCTAGCTGATCAGTTGATGGCTGTGGTAATGTGCGCGGTACCGTTGATGGATTAGATTGTATATACAGACATATATTATATACACTTGATTATAGTAAGTGTATATGTTTTGAATGTTCTTACTCATGCGGAAATAACTCCTTGTAGATTATTACGTTCCATTTATATTTTGTATTTTTATTTATTTTATTTTTACATAATATTTTAAAGATTTTTCAACACTTGTAAATTGCGTAATCATGTTTCTGGCACACATTTAGCATAATAAGGAAATTCTCCGTACACCAAAAAGTACCACATTTAAGTTTGTATCATGTCGTCTCTCGTGCAGATCATAGCACAAAGATTTCTGAAATAAATTGTCGACAACTGGCACATAATAATTCACGTTTCTGCATGAAAGCTTAATTGCAATTAACAATTAAATTGTACCTGTCCTTTTATTTTGTGGGTGTGAAGTTTCAGCTACTACCGCAATATTTATATTATATTCCACGCTGCGTCAAGCAACAAACCGATCTTTTCAAATCTCAATGTTCTACAAAGCTTTCGGAGAGATGTGTCATAATGACACTTAATTCGGTATAGTTTTTATTCATATATGTATATACATAATATATATGGGTTTGTTATCAAATGCTTGACACATTTACATATGTATTCTCTCTTTTATATAGTGAACAATTGCCACTTACATTTTTGTTATATTTTTTATTTTCCTTTGCCTTTTTGTCCAATTTATACTTTGTTTTGGTTCTTAATTTCAAGGTCTTCCATGTCATTATATTTATTTGCTTCGTGATTGGTTTTGATAGACTTAATGTGACTGACAAGGAGAGTTTTATAAAACAATAAAAAATTATGCTATGCCAGATGGACGGGGTATATTGAGTTTGCTAAGAAGTTTTTAACACCCAGAGGAAAACGTCGGAGACGCCATAAATAATGTATCTAAATGATAGATGTGACGAGCTGAGTCTGTATACCTGTATATACGCCTTTTCTCCCCAAAAACCAGCTAATTTGGCGGAACCGCCGATATCGGATCACTAAAGCATATATGTAGCTGTGATATGAACTGATGAAACAGTCCTTATATGGAAAACGTTTTAATTGGACAAAATATCTTCACGAAATTCGATATTGATTATTATCCAATTCAACATTATAGCTACGCTACAAACTGGCAAATCACAATCAAGATAAAGTTTTTTTTATACCATTTTATGTTATAAGAAATATACATGAAGAGTATTGTAGCTTCGGAGCATCCGAAGTTAATGGACTTTCTTGATTTGTATTGCTGAAAACTAACGACCTAAATTAGACTTGAGCAATCTATTATGAAGTCAAAGCAGCTGAAGGAATTTTACATTGCATGAGAAGTAAGTCGTTTTCTGATGACCATGACTTTAAGGATAATAGGTCATCATGGGAATAATATGTATATTTTCTATTTGCCCATCAAAATTTGCCTATTATGGTAGTAAAGCCATTTGCAAAAAATCTTGACAAATTGATAAACGCTTTTAAAACGCTTTTAAAAGAAACTTGGTTCTTCAAGAGATTAATGCCACCATCGACGCTGGAGTTAGAAAATAATTTATAATGGATGCAAAATTGTTGCAGATATTTCAGAGTATGTCGAGACGAAAACACGG